TCCTGTAATACCCAGTGACTCTAGGAAACCCAGTTCCATAGCAGTCTCTGTTACCATCAACTTTGGCCTGCAGAGGAAAGCTACTATTGGGCTGCAAATGGTACCAGGGGCACTCCATCAAACTAGTTTCTTATCACTTTATTTAAGGGAGTATCTCTGGGCCCTCATGAGAAACATAGTAGGCATAGTGTTCTCTGGTTATATATAATAATATAGCATTCGGGTGTACCCATCCCTCTGAGCCGTTTGACCCCATCCCCAGTACTCTGCTAAGGAAGTTCCAGCATCTCCACCTTATTTGCTATAATGCATAGTTTTCCCTAAACTTTGAAGATCTATTCCAGTAGCATATTGCAATTGGATTCAGATGTCCTTGTCAACCCCTTAAAATATTAAATCCTCAGTCATGGAAAATATCCCAGATCAATAAACTGTCCATTTTCCAGCCTTATATTCCATTCCCTGACCCAGTTCACCACCCTCAAGATCCATTCCAAAAAATGTTCTCCCAAATTCTGCTGCTACACGTTAGCCAGATCCTGAAGCTCTTTTGGTAAATAATTGCTTTCTTCCCATAGCTGGGATAATACTTCCCAACTTGGTCCGTGAGGAGTCTTGATCATAGTTATTGGTCTAGAATCATGGAGGGAGTCAGGGTCAGATCTTGAAGTGGGGAAGTATCATCTTGTGAGGAAGTTGCCTCAGGTGAGGGCTTGTATGGTATTCAAGCAAGGAGGTTGCTCTCTTCCACCGAGGGGGAGAAGCCACTTCTTCTGGCCCAAAGGGTCCAGGAAAATCTGGGGGTTCCAGAACAGATGATCCCATACTAGATGTCAGGGTCCTATTCCTACTTCTTCTCTATCAGGGCTCTGACTTGCTGGGTATTTAAATGTATAATGCTAGCACACCAAAGGAGAAATCCTTTCACTAGATAGAACAGTGGTTCCACTAAACTGGAGATTAAGACTCTTACCTGGGCTTGCAGCATAGAAGGAGGTTACCTTCTGTGGTGACTGATCCCCAAATACCAAGGAGAAACTGGGTTGCAGCTACACGGTGAAGGTAGAGAGCACTATGCCTGGGACCCACAGGATCCCCCAGTGTGCCTCCTCCTTCTTCCATGTTCAATAGTAAAAGTTAAAGAAAAATGGTAGCAACACAATTCTGAGGATTTAGATTCTTCAAGAGTTAAGGTTTGATCATCTGATCTGGTTAAAAAAACAAACAAACTGAAGTGCTGTTTTAGGGCAAAGTGAAAAAAAAAGAGTAATGGAAGAGGAAAGTTATAAAAATCAACATCTGACAAGGTACAGAAATAAGGACTGCAGAAGTTATAGGTATTATCTTTCTTGCTTGTTTTATACTATATACTCTCTCTATATATTAATTTCTCCCTCCTTTCTTTCCCTTATTATTATTTTCCTTGCCCAGGGATATTTTTTTATTGATTTTTTTTAAGATAGAGTCGAAAGAGGGAGGGAGAGAGAGTGAGGGGGAGAGAGAAAGAAACATCGATGTGAGAGAGACACATAGATTGGTTCCCTCCCACACAACCCCAACTGGGACGGGGATCGAACCTGCAACCCAGATACATGCCCTTGACCAGGAATCCAACCCACAACCCTTTGGTCTGTGGGCCATTGCTCTAACTGCTGAGCCAAAACCAGCCAGGGTTCCATTATTATTATTATTATTATTATTATTATTATTATTATTATTTTAATCCTCACCTGAGGACATTTTTACATTAATCTTCAGATAGAGCTGGAGGGAGAGAAGAAGAAAGAGAGAGAGAGAAACATCAATGTGAGAGAGACACATCGACTGGTTGCCACCTGCACAACCCCAACCAGAGCTGGGGACAAACAGCAACTGAGGTTCGTGCTCTTGGCCTGAATTGAACCCAGGACTCTTTGGTCCGCGGGCGACGATCTTACCGCTGAGCCATGCTGGCCAGGCCTCCCTTATTATTTTATATAAGGATTTCTGTTGGTAGTGAACTTTATAATTTAGTCTTTAGGTTTACAAAATCCTCTAGAGGAAATGCAGCTGAACTAGAAAGAGGTATTAAAATCACCAAGAGATGGACACTGTTACTGGAGAGACTGCATCTCCACGTTAGAGGGAGGGTGCCAGAGAATCTTTGTGTGAAAGGCAACTGCACATAGGTGAAATCATGAAATTGTCACTTTCAATGTGTATAGAAATGTATGTATAAATGCTGAGCAGAAAAAGTGCTTGACTGTATCAGTTATTTACTTCTTTTTTTCTTTTTCTTTTTGTTACAGATATTTCTTTTCCCCCCACTGATTCCCTCCTCCTCCTCCCAGTTATATACTTCTTACCTTTCCACTCCAGATCCATTTTTCCTGTCTCTGCTCTGTTGTTGGGTGGGGCTGGGAGCCTTCTAACTTGTTTTCTAGACTCCATTACTAACTGGATTTCTGTTAGGTTCTGCGAATAGGAAGCACTAGAGGTAAAGGGAGAAGAGACTATCTTCCCATTTTGCTTTTCTGTTCAGGCACTCTATCATTGGAAGTTGGCTTCTTCCTGCATTCCAAGAACCAGCTTTGTAGATGGCTCCTCTAAGGATTGAACAGCACCCCTGTGACTATGCTTGCATTTGTATCCCAACTTTGCAGGGTTTCGAGGGTGTAGCAATCCCACTTCTTCCCTTGTGTTTCTTCAGTCGTTGCTGCTTCCTTTATTCGTTCCAGGTTGTCTCAGTGTTCTTTCTCTTTTTGCTTTTAGTTTTCCAAATCCTGTGTAACCAACCCCCTGTATTAAATCCCCTCTAATTGAAATACATGATGTGGTTTCTATTTTTCTGATTATGCCCTATCTGGTACACAAAGTTACCCTCAATGACAGAACAGATAACTTATGGCGTTGACATACCACATTGGAATAGTATACAAGGAGAATTAATCTCCCTAAAGTAATACTGAAAGAAGCAAATCACAACTGAATTCATACAGTATGACTCCATTTCTACATAGTTTAAACACTAGCCACATTAAACTATATTTTTATTGATGGTCATGCAGATGATAAATCTATAAAGAAAAGCAAAGAAATGATTAGCACAAAATCCAGGATAGTGGTAATCTCTTAGGGGATGAATGAAGATGAGATCAGGGAGAAGCATACGGGAAGTCCTGGATGTTGATAATGTTCTATTTCTTGATCTTTGAGGCGATGACACAACTGTTCACTTTGTCAATATTCTTTAACTGCACATTAGTGTTCTGTGTGCTCTTTTGTGGATAAGATATATCTTGCATTGAAAAAAACAAAAGAAGTCCTGGCTGGTTAGAGTGTTGGCCCAAGGACTGAAGGGTCTTGGGTTCAATTCTGGTCAAGAGCATGTACCTGGATTGCAGGTTTGATCCCTGGCCCTGAGACCCCAGTTGGGGTTGTGTGGGAAACAACCAATTGATGTGTCTCTTTCACGTTGATGCCTCTTTCTCTCTTGCTCTCTCCCTTCCACTCTATCAAAAAAATCAATGAAAAAATGTCCTTGGGTGAGGATTAAAAAAAAAGAACAAGAAGAACATCATTATTGCCACTGGCTATGAGTCTGGGAGCAGGAGGATACTAGGAAGGATTTCTAGAGATGAGGCAGGAGGGGAAAGCAAAAGAGGGACAGCAAAGACCAAGTCTGAGGTCCCAGAAGTCAAGAATTGAGGCTGAGGCTGAGGCTGAGTGAACATGAGAGCTGAGCCTGGAGTCAGGACCTTCTCCCCAGCCCCAAGGGAGTCAGACCAGGGTTGGGAACTTTTCTGTAGGGCTTTCATCTCCTCCTCCTCTGTTTGTGCTAACAGAGGACCCCTGCCTGCTGGTCATATTCAGATGTGGGTGCACATCTGAATCAATGTGGAGATGTTCACCATTTATTAGCAGAGTAGAATAAATCTGGTAGTTAGGCAGAGTTGGTGAGTCGACATGAGCTGAGCCCTGGGATGGACATTCCTGAGGCCAGATGGAGAAGTTGGGTGGAGCCCCTTCAATCAACACAGAAAAGCTTTTTGTGGAAGCTGGGGATTTCAGTGGGTGAAAAAGAACAGGTTGAATTGGGGAATGAAGCAGGTATTAGAGATGTAAGAGAACAACCGGGAGGTAAAAGGACAGCAGGAAAGCTAGACTGTTCCTCCATTTTCCCCACATTCCTGTAAAAGATGTAACCAGCTTTGCAGGGACTTCCTCTCTTGCAGAGAGGGTTAATTGTACCACACAGCAATGTTGGCAGACAGGTTAACAGGAAGCCAGATGCCCCTAAGGTGGTGTGAGGGGGTAAGATTCACAGGGGAAGCAGTGCCTTGGTTGCACCCCCCCCCCCCCCAGTTGCCTTGACACTACCAGCTCTATTGCTAGGAACTTCCGCAGACCCCAGGCCCTTAGCTGTCAAGTCTACTCTCCACTTAGTCCTGAGAGTTTCCAGGCTCTGGGCTCCAGGGGCTGATTCTGGATTCCCATCCCCCACCCTAGGAGCGGTAGACTCCACTGGCTGGCGCAGACACGCAGTCTCTCTGCTCCCTGGCCTCCTGAGTCAGCAGGGTAGGGCCACCTGCGCTCTCTGGACACAGACCTGGCTCTGGTCTCGCTAGGAACGCTGATACTGAAGCAGGGCTGGGATGAGGGTACAGGAGGTGAGAATCTCCATTCCCCAGGCAGCTGGGGGAGAAATCTGAGATAGATACTACTTATCACAAGTCAGAAACAGGAGAGTGGACATGTCGGAACTCAGAGACGCAAGGAGGGTCCTGGGCTCTGGGTGTGGACTTGGAGGACAAGCCAGATGCCCCTTCTTACTCCTTCCTTCCAATCGCTGCCTCTTCCAGGAACCCTCTCAGTACCGGGGACCCTGGTTCTCTCCCCTCCCCCCGCCCCCAAATTCTGTACCCTCTACGGATTGGTCCCTGGCTGCTGGGGGCGGGGCCATATGGCCGTGACATCACTGGACGAGGTGGGGGCGGGAGGCTAGGGGAGGGGGTGACGGGCCCGGCTCAGCACCTCGGAGAGCTCCCTCCCCGGCCTTGTTTTGCTCGGGAATCGCGCGGGGGAGGGAGCCAAGGTGCTGGGCACCGGGAGCAGTGGCAGAGAGATGGCCCTAGAGGGGTCGAGGGGCCCCGATGGGCAGAGGGCCCAGCCGTGATCCGGCGGGGGAGCCGAGGCGTCGGGTGGGGTAAGGGGCAGCTGGCAGCGGCAGCACATCTGGATGGAAGCGAGCTTTGTCCAGACCACCATGGCTTTGGGGCTGTCCTCCAAGAAAGCGTCTTCCCGCAACGTGGCTGTGGAGCGTAGGAACCTGATTACCGTGTGCAGGTGGGCTCTGCTGGAGGGTGGGAGTAGGGTGGTTGGGGAGAGGCGTTGGACCGGCTTTGAAAACCTGGATGAGCTAGCCAAAGACAGGGTGCATAGCAGCCGTGGAGAAAATGGAGGTGGCACAGGGTTAAGAGGAGCGTCCACTGTCCCTCTGAGGCCCAGACCGGGTAGGGAGTTTCGAGGTCTGGTCCCTACCCTTCTAGGCCAAGCCAGGCCTTTGCTCAGCCTGAGGCCTGGAGGGTGAGGGGTGTTTAATTGGTACTGCAGCTTCCTGTGAGAACCAGGAAGTGACATTGTGCGTGAGGGGGAGGGGGAGCGATGGTTGGCTCCCCGGCTGGGAACCGGGAAGCTGTGGGCCTAGGAGAACTGACGGTCCGGGGATGAGCACCCTCCAAGCATACCCTCACTCCTACCCAACAGCCTGGCCTCTCTGAAGTGGGGCTTTTCAGGGAGATTTTCCAATGCTCAAATCTTGAAGCAGGAATGGTGCCCTCCTTCTCTGGGCAGCTGTAACCTGTGGCAGTCAACTGGGCATGTGGGCAAAGACCCTAAATTCATCCAGGGAAGGGTACTACCCCTGCCATGGGAAGGACTGAGGGCTTGGCCACAGAATCCTGGGTCTCCTTGGTTCAAGGGGAGGAGAGTGGGAGGGCAGGCCTATTGGTCCCTGAGGGTGGGGCTGTTGCAGTGTTGAAAAGATTCCCCTGATTTCTTGGGGCCCATGAAGTGAACCTTTCCACTTCAGCCCTGCAGACTCATCCTCCCTGCCCTGAAGCCAGGAATGGCTATTTGCTCAGCCTCTCTACCTGAGCCCTCACCTCCATTCATCTCTCCCTGTAGGTTCCCCATGTCAGCTGCCTTCTCACCAGCAGTGCCCCTCATGCCACCTCTGAGAGCAGGGAGCTCCTAGTGCACATCTCAGCTGTCTTCCCTTGCCAGCTTCACCTGCCTGCACACAGTAATCAGTACCCACCTGATGCCCTGGCCAGTGTGTCCTATGGCTCTTCCAGGTTCCTGGACACACACCCAAACACACTGTGCCTGTCTCACACAACTATATCCCTACTGCCTCGCATTGTGCTGTGCACACCAGACCTCTGTAAAAATGCCTGAAATGTTACAGAAAGGATGACTGCAAAGTGCAGGTCACTGCCTCCCCCCTCACACCTTGAACCCTGCCAGTATGGTGTAAAATAAAGATTTCTGCCTTTGGGGTTAGATGGTCCTAGGTTCAAGCTCTTACTTCATCAGTTATTACTTGTGCAACCTTGGTGAAGTCTCCTACTCAGTCGGGCTTTGGGTACCTCATCATCCCCATTATAGATGCAACAGCCACTCGGAGGAATGGTAATGACATAATCCTTGTAGGAGCCTAGCCCAATGCCTGACACACAGCAATAGCCCTGTCCTGATGACACCCTTTCTGTCCCTCTCCTCTCTCTTGATGCCCTAGATTCCTCTTCTTTCTCTTACCTGCCAGGAAAGCTGGGCCTCTTGAGTGTGTGAGGAAAGGGGAACAGCCCTTGGCCTAGGCTACAGCAGTTCTAGTGGACTGAAGTAGGCTTAGAGCTGTGGTGTAAGAAGTAGAGTTTGGGGGGAACCAGAGGCATGACAAAGGCTAAGAAACCCCTCAGGCCTCTGCTGCCTCATCACTGTCACATGGTTCACTTCCAGCTCCCAGAACAGTTTCCTGTAGCAAGCTAAGGGCTCCCCTGGGCCCTGGCCTCCCTGTCTCCATGGTAACCTGCAGCAGCCACTGCACCTTCTAACAGGGAGTACACCATGGGGCTCCTGGGGGCAATGACCAGCTCTGCAGCACCCCTGAGGACAGATGGTAAATGGCTGCCATGCTGAAACCAGCCCCAGGCCCCCACTGTGGTCTGACCCAGATGATCAGAAGAAATAAGGCTGTGGGGGGCTGCATAATGAAGCCCAGATAATGCCCTAAACACAGGCTCCTTTTTGGCAGGCTAAACCTTCCCATTAATGGCCCATCTCCCCATCACCCCTGCCCTGTACACACTCACCTCCTCTCAGTCCTGCTTAGGATCTGAATCAAAATTTAATGAGGCAGGTACTATTATTCCTGTTTGCACCTGAGACAACGGGCCTCTGAGAGATTGAATGACTTGTCCAAAGCCACACATGTATCACAAGGAAATAGGACTTAAGTCCACCAGGCTGCCTCCCCCTAGTGTAACCCCAACACTGACCTGTCTCTGATCTCAGGCTAGACCAACTCTAGGTCCAAAGGGAAGGGAAGGAGGCCCATGGACTCAGCTGTGCCATTGTCCTGAGAGCCAGGGAGGCCAGTGCCCCGGGGCTGGAGCCTGTAGAGTCGGGGACAGAGGGCAGGGGCTGCTCAGATCCTTGGGAATTTCACAGCTACCAGGAGTCCACAAGATATGGCAGAAAGAGCAAGGGCTTTGGAATCAGACATACCTATTTGAATCCCCATTAGCTGTGTGATGTGACTTGGAACAGATCAGTCAACCACTTGGACCCTCAGTTACCTTATCTGTGAAATGGGGATGATGGTGATAATAAGAGGAACTACCTCCCAGAGCTGTTGTAGGGATGGACAAGCTAATACATGCAAAGTATAGAGCTTGGCCCATTACAGGGCTTGATAATCTTAGGGAAAAAAAGGGCAGTTCCAAGCAGCCCCTGTATCTGCTCTGCCACCCACAATAGGGCAATAATGGGATGTGGGGAGCTGAGCCCTCAGCCCTGCCCCACCCCACTGCAGCCATAGCAGGTGGAGATTGCAGGGGTAGGGACTGGGAATAGGGACTGCAGAGGGAGCTGAGGCTTTCAAGCAGGACTGGAGAGAGGGATGGGAGCTGCTGGGCTCCAGTCTCTCAGCTCCATTGTCTTCTGTTGGCTCCTTTCCTCTCTGAGAAGCCAGGTGTCAGGGCCCCCAAGGCCCCTTCCACAGATCTGCTGCCAATACTTCCTCCCACCCAGTGTGTCTGTCAGACCCACACCCGGCACCTCCCCCAGCCCAACTCTGCACCTCCTGGTTCTGGGCAGCTGGTGTGTGGGCAGCCAAGCTGGGAAGGAAAAGGGGGAGGGGGTGCGTCCCTGTGCTGAGAGCCCACCTGGCCACCATGCATGCCTGCACCCCATGTGCTTGGTGCCAACTCACAGGTCCTGGCACAAGTGACCCTTCACCCCAGAGGGACTGAAGGTTGTTCCAGCAAAAGCAGAAGACAGCCCAGGTCAGGGATACAAACCAGCTTCTAACTCCTAGCTGACCCCCAACCCACATACATAGAGAATGGAACTCTGAAGGGTGGACAAGGAGGAGAGGGCTCTGGGATGGCCTCCAGCTTTGGGTGCCTGGACTTGCTGCCTATTGTTTCATTCCTTCTCATACCTTGTTCCCAAAGCTTCCTTTCTCTGGCTATCACCTTTCCTGTCATCCACTTTGTCACACAGTCTCCCACCTGCCACCCTAGCACTCTCATGTCACAGCACCTGTGGTCACTATATTCTCACCTGTCTCCCACCCTCTTTTCCTGCCACCCCACTACATCCATGCTCTTCATGACCTCTTATTTGCCTTTTGTCCGTCTGTTGGCCTGATGACCTTCCCTTACCACCATCACCCTGTCTTCTCACCCAACACCCCACTGCCCCTTCTCCCTACCCCGCACCCAGGTTCTCTGTGAAAACACTGCTGGAGAAGTACACAGCAGAGCCCATCGATGACTCATCTGAGGAGTTTGTGAATTTTGCAGCCATCTTAGAGCAAATCCTCAGCCATCGTTTCAAAGGTGGGCCCAGGTTCCTGTCCTTTATTGCCCAGCCCTCCCAACCCCCAGCCTTTAGCTCCCAGCCACTCTGCTCTGATCTACTCTGTGACTTCTGAACCCTATCACTGACCCTGGTCCCAATTCTTCCCCCGTCCATATTTCCAATTTTGGGTCATGCACAGCTCATGCACAGAGCTGGGAAGAGGAGAAGGGGTCTTCTGGGCATGCAGTTATATGCTGACATGCCCTTTGTGTATACGTATGAGTGTGCACATATTTGTGGTAGGCACTGTGTATGTATGTGGCTGCTTATACTTATGCATGTGTGTGACACATTACATGGACCTTCTCTAAACTCCCTTGTCTTGCTGAGCCCCCTCCCTGCCCTGGCTCAGCCTGTGCCCCAGCAGGTCCAGTGAGCTGGTTCAGCTCAGATGGGCAGCGGGGCTTCTGGGACTATATTCGGCTGGCCTGCAGCAAAGTGCCCAACAACTGTGTGAGCAGCATTGAGAACATGGAGAACATCAGCACAGCCCGAGCCAAGGTGCGTGGCCTGCGATGAGCAGGGTCAGGGCAGCTACTCCCTGCTCTGGATACAGGGGAACTGCCTGCTCCTTGGTCCCCACTCCTGCCATGGGTACAGGGGAGAAGAGCCACAGGAGGTCCAGACCCAATGGTGCGTACATGGGTCTCTTCAGGGCTGCAAGTAAAAGTGAGCATGCTTTCCAGGGCCGGGCATGGATCCGGGTAGCACTGATGGAGAAGCGCATGTCGGAATACATCACCACAGCTCTGCGGGACACCCGGACCACCAGGTCAGACCCTCTCAGTCAGCTCAGACCACAGGTCCCAGTGCACATGTTCATTGTCTAAACACATTTGATCTTTCAGTTCCTACAGCAACCTTTTCTATCTGGACTACATCTCCCAGCATGCACCACTAGTTTTGGAAAGCACACCTTTGGCACCACCATCACCTCTTCCAAGTCAAACTCATTATCCCCTATTAGTTCCCAGACTTACACACAGCTCTACCTTTAGACACAAATCTGGACAAGTCTCATCTATGTATCATTTTACTTGGCCTTGTTCTATACCTTCAACACACAGCCCTACCTGCTCCCCAAACAATGGCAGCCGTGTGTACTTGCTACCCATGGAATGCAGAGTTCCGCTGTGCAGAGCTGTGTCCTGGGGCAGGGTTACAGGCAATATGTGCCAGTGGGGAATGGAGTGTTTCCTGATTTTAAGGATCTGGGTGACTCAGTACTTGGTGGGAAAGGGGCATGTCAGAAGATTGAGGAAAGTCTATTTTCAGGGAACACACGTTCTAATAGGTGGGATACACAAGTGCTATTCCCAGTGGGCCCCAGTCTGAGGGAGACACAAGACCCACACCTGAGGGATGAGCAGGAAGCAGATACTTACTTCCTCTAAGAAAGGTTTGTAGTAAGCCAACAAGAAAGGTCCTGAGGGATGCGGGCTCCCTGGGAGGGTGCTGCACCATCAGTCCCATCCCCACCACTCCCCACAGACGTTTCTATGACTCAGGAGCCATCATGCTGAGGGAGGAAGCCACGGTCCTCACTGGAATGCTGATAGGACTGAGCGCCATAGACTTCAGGTGGGGTCTGGATGTCTGTGGCAGTGGCGGTGGTGGGGTGTCACCCCCGCGAATGTCCAACCCCTCACCAACTCTGTGGGTTCTCTGCTCCCAGCTTCTGTCTAAAGGGTGAAGTGCTGGATGGGAAGACCCCCGTGGTCATCGATTACACACCCTACTTAAAGTTCACCCAGAGGTGAGAAGCCGGATTGTTGCGGGGGCTGCGGGCAGACTCCCGCCTGGAGGGCTGGGGATGGCAGCAGACGACTGGCTGGGCGGGCGCTGCGGCCCGCAGCCCAAGGGGAGCAGCGTGGGACGCGCGGGCGGGACGAGCCGACCGGTGCCCACTGCTCCCTCCCGCAAGCTACGACTACCTGACTGACGAGGAGGAGCGGCACAGCGCCGAAAGCAGCACCAGCGAGGACAACTCGCCGGAGCACCCGTACCTGCCGCTCGTCACCGACGAGGACAGCTGGTACAGCAAGTGGCACAAGATGGAACAGAAGTTCCGCATCGTCTACGCGCAGAAGGTGCGCGCGGCGCGGCGCGGGCACAGGCAGCGGGGCGGGAGGGGGCGGGCCAGCCGGCTGCAGGCACCTCCCCGCCGCCTGCGCTGAGCCGGCGCTCCGCAGGGCTACCTGGAGGAGCTGGTGCGTCTGCGCGAGTCGCAGCTGAAGGACCTGGAAGCGGAGAATCGGCGGCTACAGCTGCAACTGGAGGAGGCGGCAGCGCAGAACCAGCGCGAGAAACGGGAGCTGGAAGGCGTGATCCTGGAGCTGCAGGAGCAGCTGTGAGCGCCGCCGCCGCCCTGAACCCTGACCCCACCCCGACTACATCACCCCAGGGAACCCCCTCATTTCCCCCATTGATTCTAACCTCACCTTTTCTGATACTCGCATCCAACTCAACCAACCGCTAGCATCAAACAACTGACCCCATCACCTCTACCCGGAGGTCCTCTGCAGTGACTTAACGTTATCCTCAACTATGATCCTGGGCGCCCTCCAAAAATCCGCTCCCCACTTCATCCTCTATTACCCGCCATCAACTAAAAGGCCATCCAACATCACTCACAAGGACCTCTGTTACTCAGCGACCTTCAACGTGATTGAATTACTCCCCCTGATCTGCAACATAGCCCACTGTCATCACCCATGACACCTGACCTCACTCCTACCAATCCCTGACACTTCCTCACTAAACCTTTTCATCACCCTATGACCTCCTAGCATGATTCCCAAAGTCCCACCTCCATTACATTTCAGGATTCCTACACTATTCTCTATCACCCTGACTCCTGCAACACCCTTTCACTCCCGCTAACCCCCAACATGAGTGCACTAATCCTTGTCACCTGCCTGAACCCCAGTACCCTTCCCTGACTCTTAGAATCGGCCCCACTGATCCTCAACATTGTCCCCATTTCTGCAACCCAGGTTTTAATCCTAACCCCTCCCAACACCCCTTGCTGAAGACACCCCCCTTTCCCTATTTCTGCTCCCTCCCAGCCAGCCTGACCCCAACCCCTCCCCATCCCAGGACAGGTCTGATCCCTGGTGACCACGCTCCCCTGGCCCAGGGTTCCAAGGAACTCACCACGCCCCTAGTCAACCAATGGCCGTCGCTGGGAACGCTCAATGGAGCTGAGGGTGTCAGCAACCCCAAACTCTACCGGAGGTAAGCACAGTCAGGCTCTGTTTGGGCCTGAGTGCTGGTCCCTCTTAAGGAAGAGGGGCATGGGGGGCGGTAAGCCTCTACCTGTACACCAGTTCTATACTCTGTCACAGACACAGTTTCATGTGCACGGAGCCGCTGTCAGCTGAAGCCAGTCTGAGCTCAGACTCCCAGCGCCTGGGAGAGGGGAAGCAGGATGAGGAGCCCTGGGGCCCCATTGGTGAGCGCCCCCCCTCCCCCAATGCAGCACCAAGCATTCCTCCAGGCCTTGGGGCTTGTAGTCAGGCCTTGGCCAATTCCCTCAGCCCTTCCAGAGAGGTTAGCACAGCAATTAACTTGGTTTGGGTTGTCTGGCAAACTCCGGTGCAAACCCCAGCTGTGCCTCCTCTGGTTGTGGAGCTGTCAATTATTCACCTTGCAGAGCCCTTCTCATCTGTAAAATGGGGGCGTTAAAGTGATCGCCAGTGTTGGCATGTGGTGAGGGCTCGATGGCTTTTTTGGTATCATGATATCAAGGGATTCCAATTTTCTGGGAGTATTTTGCCTAATTTGCTCGTATCTCATGCACTCTGTGAACCACTTGCCTGACCCTTGTTTCCCCCTTTTCTTTGGCTGCCAGGAAGCTCAGAGCCAAATTAGTGGCTCCCTTCAAGCGAATGTCCAGGACTTCAACGCATGCATTTTGTGTTGCCCTCCCCGTGGCTTCACCTTGGTTTCCCACCCTAGTTTTCCCGGTGCCTGGACGTCATGTCTTTTCTAAAAACTACTGTACTGGATGACCTTAGATCTTCTTTGAGACAAGGCAGGCTATGGACATGTGACCTGCCACACTGTTTGTGATTGTCCATGTGTCTGTCTCCCCACCAGACTGTGAGCTCCTTGAGGGCAGGGACTGTGTCTCGTCCGTTCTCTGTATCCCCAGTGCTTGGAACAGAACAAGTGCTCACTGTGTATTTAATAAACAGAGAGGATGAACCTCAGGGGGAGACAGAGACATAAACTGACGATTACAATAGTGTTCCCCGCACTGTGCACAGCACAGGCAGGTGCCTATCAATGTTAATTGAAACGAGAAGTCTCCTGGGGTTGGGGGACTGAGGGAATGCCCCTTCACAGCCTGAGCCCACGACCGCCACACATGCAGACTGGTTGGCCTGGCCTCACCCACCCTCTCTCTCCAGGGAAGGACCCCACGCCCTCCATGCTGGGCCTCTGCGGCTCCCTGGCCTCCATCCCCAGCTGCAAGTCCCTGGCGAGCTTCAAATCCAACGAGTGCCTGGTGAGCGACAGTCCTGAGGGCAGTCCAGCACTGAGCCCCAGCTGAACAGTGTGGGCTGTGCCAGCCCCACCTGCCAGGGCACAGACACCTGCTGCCTTTCCTCAGAGTCCCCAAATCCAGGCCACCCTTCCAGAGAACGATGTCCAGCCAGCCAGGGGGATCTCTTGGGAAAGAAACTTTTTGCTTCTGGTTTAGCTTCCTGCCCAAGGAAGCCAGGGCTGCCAAGGGAAGCCTGTTCGATAGGAAGGTGGAGTCGCCAAGGCCACAGGAAGTCCTTGGGGGAGCTTGTTCCATTCTTCTGGCGACTGATGCCTGGCTGGCTCCCTCCTGGGACTCTACTTCACTATCTCCCCCACCTCCTCAGGAGTTGGTGGCTCAGCCTCGATACCTTCACCTCCCCCACCTCTCCTGTCTGTCCCTGTATTCATCCCCCGAAGTCACTTCTTCCTCAGCCCCCAGTGTAGGGGCTCTGAGGGGAACAGGCAAATAAAAACCACATAGATGACTGAGGGAAGCCTTGTCTGTGGGGACTAGGACAGGACCGTCTTGAGGTTGACAGAACGTGGCAGAGCCAATGGTGGGCCCATAACCAATGTGATGCTAGACCACACAATCAGTGTGTGCCCTGTGGGAGCAGGCGGGTCAGACTAGCTCAGGAGTGGGTGACTTTTGTATGAAGTGTGCTGAGTACTAGGTCCACCCACAGCAGGACCCAGACACATAAGAACCCCTTCAACCTGATACTTTTTGAGAACTTCCTAAATTTCAGGCAGAGAAGAGACTGAACATCCTTGGGGGAACGGGGCGCAGGCCCTGGCAGTGCCATCTTCCATCATCCTGTACAATTCAGCTTTGGCCCAAAGTTGCAGACCCTTCCATTAGGCCAAAGCCTGGCAGTGAAGCAACCCTCCTTCTTCTGCTATCACTTAAGTGTGCCCTTGGGGAGAGGTCTCACCATCCTCCACCCTGGCCCTAACACTATCAGGATATTGCCTATTGATCCATCAATCCTGGGTCCTCACTAAATTGGGGTGTCCTTTACATGGGCATCACCTGGGCAGCTAAAGCCTACACCAGGATCCCTTACAGGCCTCCTCTGTGCAAATCCCTTACCAAGTCCTGCTTCCCTCAACCCCACTGTCCCCTGCCCCTGCCCCTGCAGTCACAGGCACTGGAGAGAAGTTCATCATCTTTACACTCAATGAATTAACAGTGGTGGGTTCAGACTAGCCAGGCCCAGGGCTTTGTGGCCCTTGGGGGCAAGCCCAGCTACAACACACACACAGGGAAATGCCAAGAGGGTAGGGGGAAGAGAGAGTTAACAGATTTGGTCTTGAACTTGGGGAGTTGGTTGGAAAAGTGATGATCCTTGGAGCTTGGGATGAGGACCAGTAGGAAGAAAGCTGTCTGAGGGGGCCTGGGAAGGCTCAAAGGGGCGAACCGCTACCCTTGGGGCTCAGAGTTGAGAGGTAAGAAAAATGAGGCCCCTCCCCTGAGGACAAGGCACTTGGCTCAGTTCCCTCCTGCCCTACCCCATCCGTGGAAGAGATGGGGCTCTCATCCCCTCACTCCTCTCACTGGCCCAGAGGCTGTTCCAGGTTGAGCCTCTGAAAGAAGCTTTTGCCCAACTCATACGTGCTGATCATGATGGCACAGGAGGGGGCAGCCTTGATGATCCTTGGGAGGAAGCCTGCAGAGGGAGGGCAAGGCTGGGATCAGAGGGTGGGTCCCGGAGGGTCCCAACCCCACCAGGGCCTGGATACAGACACTCACCTGCGAAGAGTCCCCTGGTGCCAGACTCAGCCCGGATCCTTCGCAGCAGCAGCCAGGTGGAGTCGGGGTGCAGGGGTGACACTGCAGACACAAGGCATAGCCCATTAAGACCCCGCTTGGACCCGCACCTGCTCCCATCCCACACCAGCCAAACCCCTCACCTCTCACAGCCTCGACCGCTCCCAGCGCAACCTGGCGTTGAGTCTTCACCACATCGAAGGGTAGAGTCAGGATGGCAGCCACCTGGTGGGGTGGGGAGAGGATTCATCTCCATTCCCAGGACCCCCATCCCTTGTACCCAGACAGGGAGAGTGAGCTTGCTTCTCAACAGGCAGCTAATGCACTGCCATGCAAGGACACCTCTGCCAGCCTCACCCCCAGCCCAGTCAACTCACCGTCCCTGAGATGCCTCCAGCCACAAAAGTGATGCCCACTGACGTCTGGTCCTTTGGCCTGAGCCCACTCAGCCAGCTCTTCACCAGCTCATAGTTGAACCAATACAGGGCTTGGGAGCACAGGGTACACTCATTAGAGATGTGGAGGACAGAAGGGTGGGCCCCATACTGCACATCTTTCACTGTCCCTTACATGGCAACCACTCCCTCCCAGTCAAGAGGCCTGCCTGCTACATGCCAGTTTCTATAACAGGCTCTCTGCAGGAACAGAGCTCAGAGAAGTTAAGTGACTTCAAAGTCAGCATATCAAAGTTGGAACTTGGCTGTAGACATTTTGTGCATCATCCAAGGGCTCCCTTACCCCATATCCCCTGCACCCCTGGTGCCTACCTGAAAAGGGCACATCCCGAAGAGCAGTGGGGCCCCAGCCCAGCCACAGTGAGCGCCAGCCACCCTGAGCCACAGCAGCTCGGACACAGGCACTCAACTCCCGGTATGAGACATGCTGAGCCTGTAGCTTTGTCCGCACCAGCTCTAGGGGGCTGATCACAGTCACGGTGCCCACTATGGAAACAGTGGAAAGCGATCAGCCCTAGGTCCTAACGGCAGCTTGCCCCAGGGTCTGGGAGCCCAAGACATCTCCCCATCGGCAGAGAGTGGAGGTGGGAGCTAGGACTGAACTCAGGCAAAGGTGGGGTCAAAGGGAGATCAAGGGCCCAGGGCTGTGCTCACAGCGGGCCAGTGCACCAGCCACCATGGGTGCATAGAAGTCAGAGATCAGGGCTCGACCACAGAGGAAGGCCTTCAGTTGGTCGTAGGCCGTGAAGTAGATGGCGGTTGCTGGCACAGCCATCACCCTGAGGGTGTGAAGAGATGTTAGTTGGGACTCCCAAACGGCCCAGGCCTTCCCTGCCCCACCCAGCCAGCCAACAGGGGAGCAAGAGCCAACAGGGGAGCAACAAGGCAAAGGGAAGACAATATACAGGACTGGGGTACTCACAGAGTGGCTGGGAGGCCACTCCACAGGGTCCTGGTGCCCTCGTTTCTCACAATCTTCACAAAAGCATCCTGGCCAAGAGAACATCAGCCCAGGGCATGAGGGTGAACATGACAAAGGCCTGTGAAGGTGCTGGCCCAGGCTGGGCCCTAACCTGATACTATCACCTCTGCCCACAGCCCTGGCTCCTGCTTGGAGGCGGTAGCCCCTCAAGCCTTCACACATGCAATTTCCCACTTGGCTCCAGGTAGACTCCTGTTCAACCTTCAAACCCTCGTGGAGAGAACTACCTCCTCAGGGAAGCCCTTCCCAAACTAAACTGGCTGCCCCCACATGCTTTGTAGTATCTGTTCTTTCCTGGGTCTGCTGCTCAAGCAATTTGTATCTCTCAAGTATCCGAACAGACCCAGCTGAGGGCACAGCTGCTCCTCACCATGGTGCCAGTGAAGCGAGTGGGGTCCTGAAACCAGGTGGCACAGCGGGCACCATTTGGGCACAGGTACAGGGGCTCCAGGACACCATTGCAGTACAGGAGGCACTTCCCTGTGGGTTGGAAAGAGGAGGGTACTGGGGAAGAGGAGGAGGCATTAGCATGCCATGGCCCTGGAACCCGGCAGGGAAGTGGTGAGCCCCTGTCCCTTGGAGGCCAGCAGAGGCTGGGGGACCCTAGGTGGACATTCTGGTGCAGGACAGAGGAGTGGCTGATAGAATCTGGAAGCATGTGGCAGTCCATGGCTGCAGAGCTCACAGGTGCTCTGGGGAGACTGGGACACTCCCTCCCCTGACCCTCACTGGCTCCCTGTGGCTAAGGGTACTCACATTTGGCATAAGAGAAGCTCCAGAGTCTGGAGGAAGACACCAGCTCTAAAACACAAGGTAGTCCATCAAGTCAGGAGAGACGCCCACCTACCCAGGGATCCCATCTCTGGGAGATCCTTTTGCCCAGGCATCACCCCCTACTAGCTCCAGGGTTGGCTACTCACCCCTGGTCACCGAGGGGCGTTGGGACTGCAGGCGGACTTTCACCACGTCCAGCGGGTTCACTGGGGGAGAGGGCAGGTCTAAAGACTTCTTTCAAGACTTCACTCCTGACCCCTCCCCTCCGAGACCAAGACATTTCCAATCTCTGATCTGCCCTAGTACCCAGCTGCCCCCACCCAACCTCCCAAGGTCTTACTGAAGAGAGAGGTAACCACAGCTCCAGCACCTGAGGCCACCATTTGTTGGAGGGGGCTAATGCCCCCAGGGTCCTGATCAGCCATCTTGTAGCTTCAATTCTGAAAAGCAAAGCTCAGTCAAAGGAATGCCAGCTCACAAAACAGAAATCAGTGGCTGGGGAAAGCTGAGGCAGTGCACTTCCGGATTTTACCGACCTCTCACCCCATTCACTCACGGAGTATAAGTTCAAGTGACCCTCACGATAATCTTTTAAAGCGGTTACTATCGTCTCCACTTTGCCAAAGGAGAGACTGAGGTTCAGAGAGGTGAGGCGACCTGCCCAAGGTCACTTTGGGAGTAGTTAGGAAGGTGGGATAGTTACCGGTTGGTTCACAGGCAACAGTGGCCCATTGCTATTTCCTCATCCTCGACACACAGACTTCCTGTGCACCTCCTCGGCGAGGGTGCCCGGTTTGGCCCCAAAGATCAAAATGCCTTAGCCATCCCCCTGCGCCTCCTATTCCAGTCCCCAGGCCCAAGTCACACATCGCGGAGAGGTGGGCCCGGGCAGTGAGAGAAATGTGTAAACAAAACCGCTGGTCCGTCCGCTCTCTTCGGACTGCAGGCTGGGCGCCTGGCCCTCCCCCCACCCCATCCAGGACCGGAAGGGCCAGGCCAGGGGCGAGGATGAGAACGACCTCTGTGCTCTCTCCCCAGAAATACCGGCCGGGGACTCGACCCAGAGAGCGAGAAGTAGGGATGGGGAGACAGGACCTCTCCTCGGCCCTGGGCGACACTCCCTGCCCCGGCCCCGCGCGCAGGGGGCGCCCGGTGAAGCCGACTTGATCAACGCAGCGGCCCGCGACTCCGCGCTCCGAGCCCAGCCACGGCTCAGGCTCCCCGGGACCCCGATTCCGGCCTCCATCCCTAGCCGGGCCCTCAGTCCCGATCCCGCCCCGCCCACCTAGCTTTAGGTTGGTACTCGCGCTGCGCGGCGCCCGGGGTCGGGCGGGCCCATGGCGGGTCCGCGACCGATGCGGGGTCCGCGCACGTTCGCCTCGCTCCAAGGCCGACAAGGAAGGCGGCCGAGCCCGGCCCGCCCCCGTACCACGCCGCGAAGCCACGCCCCCGAGGGCCGACCGGTCGCATGCCCGGAGTGACGGTGGCCCCGCCCACTCGAGGCCTCCACTGGGACCAGCCGAGCCCTCCACACCAAGCTGCAGGTACCCGGCGGGACCGCGCGCCAAGGTCGCACATCTCCACGTCGCGCATGACCTGTCGGCAGCACAGCACTGACGGCGTATGCTCACAACCCCCTCCTCACTAGTCCCCCGGCCGAACGCTGCATCGGGAACCCCAGCACTCTCAATAATTTGCCAGACCAGCGTGAATTCACTCTCCCCCTCTTCCTCTGTGGCCCAGTCTGCGTGGCAGCGGGGGTTTGAATCAGTTCCAAAGCCGCGGACGATCAGAGAGCGATGGCAAGCATTTATCTGCTGGCTGGGATTTTACAACTTCACCGGGACCGCATCAAACAGGAATTAGCATTATCCCCATTTTACAGATAATCGGTTGAAACTCAGCTCCAAAGCCACTTGACAAACTGTAGGGTGCAGTGCGCTTGTACGCAGTGGGGTTACACGAGTTGTGATCCCGGCTAGGAAGACTGGACAGAGTGAAAAGGCTGGTCCGGAAGCCGGGAGCCCCGGGTTCAACCTGGCTTAACTTGGGCTCTGAACCACTTCTGCGTGACTTGGGGTATTTCAACCCCGCCCTGGGCTTTGGGGTCCTCCTTCGCACAGAGAGGATGAATGAAGGAGAAAGAGACCTACATCTTTGTGTTGGTTACACTCACACCGTTATTTCTTCTAAGCCTCAACACTTTTAGGAGTTAAGTTATTATTCACCCCATTTTACAAATGATGAGAAACAGGTTCGAAGTTTAAAGCTCGGAACTGGAACCGGACAGGTACTTTTTACCCTACCTCCCCGGGTGACAAATGGGCTTAAATCCTACGCTGACGTCTCTGATCCCACTTCGCAGGGAGACACATTTCTCTCCCCGGCCAGCCCCGCCGCCAAGACCCACCACCTGCCTCGTCTTTAAAACTTTTGTGCAGACGTGATCGTTTGTTCTAACAAACAAAACAAAACAAAAACCAACGGATGCGAGGCTGCGACTTTAAGAAGGGTCGGCCACGACTTTGACGTAAATTGTCTCCCCGCCCCTCACTCCCAGAAATGGTCGCGTCCGGACCTACAGCGACCCAGCCAGCCGGCTCACTCCGAGTTAGCACGTGGATCCCAAGGGGCCAACTATCAGCTTTCCCTGGGAAACGGCTTTGCGACTTTCCACCACTGGGAAGCCTGAATCAGGGGGCGTGGAGAGTGCAATCTGTGACCCGTGAGGTGGCCGCTGGTCTAAAGAGCCGAAGAGAAGGTGCCCGTGTGTAATGACTCCAGTGTAAAGCAGAACCCAGGTTTCTCCCATGCAATTTCCCACTTTACAAATGAAAAAACAAAGACCCCAGCCCAGCCAGTGTGGCTCAGTGGTTGAGCATCAGACCTATGCACCAAGAGGCCACCGGTTCGATTCCTGGTCAGGGCACATGCCCAGGCTGTGGGCCCATCCCCGGTGGGGGGCATGCAGGAGGCGGCCAATCTCTCTCTCTCTCTCTCTCTCTCTCTCTCTCTCTCTCTCTCTCTCTCAAATCAATAAATAAAAAACAAACAAACAAAAAACAGAGACCCCAGAGGTCAAATGGCACCAAAGTCACTCAAATGAAAGAGACAGAATTCAACCCCCCACCTGCCTGAGTCCAGAAGAGCTCCCACCCCACCTCATTCTCAACCCAGCGCTCTGATCCCTGCAGTGAACTGCTCATCTGTTTCATCTACTCAGGCTTCAGGCCCCAAGAATTCCAAGAAATATAGCGTGTTCCTGGCAGCACCACTTGTCTGCCTCAGGACCAGAGCACCTGGGAGACAGGGACCTGTCTCCAATTTCCTCCTGCTGCAGCTCTAGCAAGTATCTTAAAGCTTCTAAGCCTAGTTATAAAACAAGCTGATGGGGATAATAATGCACCTACCTCACAGGAATTATGTGAGGATTTAAGGAGTTAACGGCTGTAAAGTGCTTAGACCATTGTCTGGCAGTTGGCAAGCACTCAATGACTATTATTTTCATTATTATTGACTGCCTCCCAGAACCTGTGGCACAGAAAGTTCTGGAAAGGGCCTTTAGAGCAACCAGGTTCTATTTCTGGTCCTACCTCTACCTCCAAATGCAGGCACAGATAGTTATAACTCCTTACATGCCTTCCTTCTCAGATTCCAGATCACACAGTTGTAAAGTAGCAGAGCCAGATTCAAAGCTGGTGACCCCTGAGCCTCTGTTTCCCCCAAAGTAGAATGAGGGACTTGCACTTCATTTCTGGTTTTCTTCTTGCAATAGGATACCTTTGAGATTTGTTGCTACACCTCAGTTTCCTCATCTGAAAATAAAGATGATGTCACCTGTCCTGTCTAACTTACAAACTCTTGGCTAAAGTCACATCTGCAAAAGCTCTGTGAAGAATCAACAATCCAAAAAAAAAACAAAAAACAGGGCTTCTGTCGAGTGGCACACGTAAAGCAGCTTGATTGCTCCATGTGCAGAATTGACATCAAGAGATTTCAGAAGCATAATTTTTTGACATTTGGGCAGCTAGTGATAGTTGGTCCTGGTGCCCACAAAGGAAAAAAAGAGAGAGAGAGAGAGAGAATAAAGAATTAACAAACAGTCCTGTCAGGGACCCGGACGTGAGTAGATCACAGTCCCTGCCTTCCCCCACAAGTAAATGCTTTGATGCTGAGAAAACGTGGGCCATCATTGGTGTGAACAAAGCCCAGTGCGGTGGCAGCAGTCTGCCCCGGCGGGAGAGGTTATCTGTGGACGATGAGACATCACAAGCCGGTGGAGGCATTTCCCAAGGATAATCATGATGGCTGCAGGGTGCAGCAGGAGCCTTAAAATGCCTATGAAGCTTCAGAACCCTGTCTAGACTTGTCTGCCCAGAGGAGCAAGCCTGGAGCCCTGAGGAGGCAGTCACAGTCCTGGCTGACTTGGCCACAGTTCACACTGACCACACACCCAGTGGTCCTTCCAGAGGTATCATGTGGCCCCATGTGGTCATCTTCAGCTTCCTCATCAGATGGAAAAACAGAAACTCCTTTCAGCTGTAAAAGGGGGAAGGACCGTACCAGCCCCAGGGGTGGTAGTGAGCACTGATGGACCAGTCCTTGCCTAGCACTGGGAGAGCAACAGAAACAGACGGTAGTTTATTGTGAGGCTGAATTCTTCCAGGGCAAGCTCCGTGGCAGGGGCAGTATCCACTCGAGCTTGTATCCTCGGGGCCTAGGGAGGTATTTATGGGGCTAAAGTAAAGCTCAGGTCCCTCCTGTGAGCCCCACCAACACCTCTGAGTTCAGGACCAGCACTGTCCCCACCTAGAGCTGCCTTCCTGGAAGCAGGGCCAGGGGCTTGGGGACCACTGAGCCCAAGAGGAGAAACCCAAACTCCAGGCTCACAGCTAAATGCCAGGTCAGGTCTTTGATTAGACCCTGAGGGCAGGGAGGAGGAGGAGTTCTAGAAGACTCTTTTGGGACTACTGAAGAAAATTGAATAAGGCCTGTACAGTAGACATTACTTTATCAATGTTAAATTTCTTATCACCATACTGTGGTTTTGTAGGAGAACGTGCTTATTCTTAGGAAATGCACACTGAAATGTTTAGGGCTGAATGTCTGCAACTTAGTCTCAAATGGTTAAAAATAAATAAAGATAATGCCAATGCAGCAAAATGTGAACAACTGGGGAGTCAAGGTGAAGAGTATATAGGTGCTCATTGTGCTATTCTTGCACTTTTTCTTAAATTTTTTTTCTTTTCTTTTTTTGTTTAGATAGAGTGGGAGGGAAAGAGAGAGAGAGAGAAACATCGACGTGAAAGGGACACATCGAGTGGCTGCAACCTGCACAACTCAACCAGGGCCGGGGACAAACTGCAACCGAGGTACATGCCCTTAGTGGGAACAGAACCCGGGTCTCTCGGGACTGCAGGCCGACGCTCTAACCACTGAGCAAACTGGCCAGGGCTCTTTTTCTTGTTTTTAAGTTTTTCAAAATAAAAAGTTGGTAGAGAAAGGGATTTCCCCCTCTGAAATACATATATACAGAGTGGGACAAAAGTAGATTTACAGTTATGAGTACACGAAACAGTTTCCATACGAACAACTGTAAATCTACATTTGCCCCTGTGTTACTTATAGACTCAGAAGAGCAACAAAGATGTCTTTTTTTGAAAGTTAAGAAAATTAGTAAATGTAATAGCTAGGATCAACCTACCTAGGGAAAGGCCTTCCTACCTTCCCTCACCCATGGCTTGAGTAGGTAGGCTGTAGAGTTTCTGGACACCAAGGCCTTACTGGGGGGACCCTGGGCGTGGGCTGAAGAAGTGACCCTCAGAGGGGAGGAATCCTGGTTAAGATTTTTCTGAGCCCTGGCCAGTTTGGCTCAGCGGTTAGAGCGTCGGCCTGCGGTCCGGAGAGACCCGGGTTCGGTTCCCGCTAAGGGCATGTACTTCGGTTGCAGTTTGTCCCCGGCCCTGGTTGGTCGTGCGGGTGGCAGCCACTCGATGTGTCCCTTCACATCGATGTTTCTCTCTCTCTCTCCCTTCCTCTCTCTCCCTCCCACTCTATCTGTACAAAAAATGGAAAAATATCCTCGGGTGAGGATAAAAAAAAAAAAAGATTTTTCTGAATTGACACCCCATCCCCACTCCAGCCTGACTCCCAGAGCTCCGGGAACAGCTCTCTCCTGCTCTACTGGGGGAGTGTAGATTAATCTACCTCCGTGGATGGCAATTTTTGGCCAAACTCTCAGACATTCAACTGCTCACATGCTGTGACCCAGCCAGGTCACTTCTCAGAATTCCTCAACCCACTGCTTACACATGTGCGAAACGACCTTTAGGGTAGTCTGGTAGGTAACAGCAGAATGCTATGGAGGCGGAACTGCATGACATTCCCTTCATGTGATGGAATACTATGCAGTCTTGAAAGGGATGTAGATCTCCACAGCATGATGTAAAACAATCCAACGGTAGAGTTAAATTGAAAAGCAGGGCGCCAGAGGCCCTAACCCATGTGACTTAGTAGTTAGAGCGTAAGCCCGCGCACCAAAGGCTTGTGGGTTAGATTCCCAGCAGGAACCTGGGCTGCAGGTTGGATCCCCAGTCCCCGACAGGAGGCAACAAATCGATGTTTCTCTCTCTCTCTTTCCCTCTCCCCCTTTTATTCCTTTCACTATTTCGAAAAACCAATGGAGAAAATATCCTTGGGTGATGATTAACCAATAATTATAAAAAATAAAAGCAGAGCCCTGGCCGGTTTGGTTCAGCGGTTGGAGCGTCAGCCTGTGGACCAGAGAGTCCCAGGTTCAGTTCCCACTAGGCCCTCGCAGCTAGGGGCACATACCAATAACTACAACAACAACAACAACAACAATAATAATAAATTATATAAATAAAAACAGAGCACTGGAGAGTGTCAGGCAGTTGTTCTCGACCAGAGCGCTACCGCCCCCTAGGGCATAGTTTGGGAATTGATGAGGTCTTTGACACATCAAGGAATCGTCCAGTACCGGTCTCAACTTTCCCGTCTTTCTGGACAATCACATACGTGAGAAATCTGTTCATTACCTGACCTGGAAGCTAGCTTTATTTCACCAACATTTCTTTGAATGGTTTTAAAATATATTAAATTTTCCAGAAGTAAAACTACCATGCAATCCTAGGGAAGATTTGACTTAGTCTCCATGAAAACTTTATCAAGGCTCATCCACAATTTTAGAAGATTTTGTCCCCGTGACCACCTGGTCTGTGTGAGCTGAGTTGCTGACCTGACACTCCAGCAGGAGTCTACAGTTATGGTTCTGGTTTTCATACATTTGCAAGCTTCTTTGCTCTCGTGGGGTTAAGCCTGAGCTTTCACATGCAGAAATACATAGTATTTGATTCTAAATTACTTTCTTTTTCTTTTTCTTCTGTATTACTTTATTTATTTATTTATTTATTTATTTATTTATTGGTACATGCCTATAGCGGGGACCGAACCCGGGACTCTCTGGCTCCAACCGCTAAGCCAAACCAGCCAGGGCCTCTATATTACTTTATACAGTACCTTATGTGTAAAATACTTTGTACAGTATATTGTATGTATAATATAAATATTATTCTATGAAGTTTATACAAATGTCTAAAAGCATTGTGCGTGGGAAAATTATATTGCCTTTGAATTTCATTTTTGAAAATGTATTAAAGGAGAGTTACAAAACATATAAAGTTCTCACAAAGGACTGTGAGATCACCAAGCACCATCCAGTCATACTTAGTGTCCTTGCCTCTGGGTAATTCAGGTTCTGCTTGTTAGTTTGACCAAGGCTGCCTGGAGTATGTTAGTCACCTGACCAGTGTGGCCAAGCCAAGGCTGAGCCCCTGTCATGGTGATACAAACTGAGGAGGAGCTGTCCCAGCCAGGCCTGGACCAAAGGTTTGGCTATCTCTCTCTCTGCCTCTGTTTCTGTCTCTCTCTTTAGATTTATAGAACATTTCTCTCTCTTTTGAACTTTCGAGTGTTTGATTGTGTGCCAGATATGTGAGACAGCAGGCAACAAGCCACATAAGGTCCCTACTCACACGTTCTAGTGCAGGAGACACAAACTAATGAGCAAATAAGACAACTGCAGACAGCAGTGACATCTGTGAGGGCAACAGAGCAGGTCATGTGAGAGAGAAAATTTGAGATGGCCTAAAAAAGGGAGAAATAGGGGTCAGGGAATGTTGCTGGAGATGAACCCAAGGTGAAGGCCAAGGGAGGGTGGAGCAGGCTGAGATGAAAGAGGTGCTCAGATGAAGGGCCAGATGTCACAGTAACTTATGCTGAAAGAATATTGGGATGGGCCTGGCTGGTGTGGCTCAGTGGTTGAATGTCAACCCATGCACCAAGAGGTCGCCAAGAGGTCGCCGGTTCGATTCCTGGTCAGGGCACATGCCCAGGTTGCGGGCCCGATCCCCAGTGGGGGGCATGCAGGAGGCGGCCAGTCGATGTTCTCCCTCATCAATGTTTCTATCTCTCTCTCCCTCTCCCTTCTTCTCTCTATAAAATCAATAAAGAACAACAACAACAAAAAAGAATATTGTTATGGTTACAAACACAGGCTCTGGGCCAGACCTGGATTCTATTTCTGGCTTCAGGCCTTTTTAACTGCATGACCTCAGTAAGGTTGCTTCACCTCTCTGAGCTTTACTTCTTCTTCCATTGTAAGACGGGGTAATAACTGGACTTCCCTGGCAAGGCTGTGTTAGAGATCACAGGAGAACTTAGTACAGAACCTGGCACAATGTGAATCTTCAACATTTGCAGGACCCACTTTTTTAAAATACAGAAACCAAGGAAACCGGCAACCATCCTAATATAAGAGGCTGAATGAAAAGTCTCCTGAAGTGCATTTGAGTACAGATTTCCCTGCTGACTTGTTGGGGAAACTTGTCTCCTTTCTAGGCCTCAGTTTCTTCATCTTTTTTTTTTTATCCTCACCTGAGGACATTTTTCCATTTGTTGTTCAGATAGAGTGGGAGGGAGAGAGAGAAACAGAGAGAGAGAGAAACATCGATGTGAAAGGAACACATCGAGTGG